ATAGCTAAATGCCCTGAAAATTTACAGATGTGTACTTCACATAATACAAAACCCACTAAAAAAGTTTCAAAAAATAATAAAATCGTTTAGACCCCGAACTAAAGTGAAAACAAAAAGTAAAAAGTGAAAAAATACGTGGGCGAGCACGTTTTGAAACCGCCATCTTTGGCGATTTTTAATTCTTATTTGGCTTAGCCAAATGACTTGAAAATTTACAGGCATGTACCTCACGTCATAGAGAAATCACAAACAAAATTCAGAAAAAAATAATTATTTTTAGGCACCGAAATAATTTTTGGCGGGGGCCGAACGCCGTCGGGTTCGGACCCCGTACGGGACCCCAAACGCCCGTACGTACGGACGTCTGCCCGGGGACCTCCGTACGTACGGGCTGGTGACCCTGTATATATATATGATATTACCGGGCAGTTCTATTTGTGACGATATATAATATTATAATATTATATAATATAATATTATATACATATATTCAGCCTCCTGATGAGTCGGTGAAACTCCGACGAAACAGTTTGTCACAGCCCCTCGTTTGTTGTCCTCTTCTCCCTCTCTGCCTACGGTTTACCGGGCAGTTCTATTTGACGATATATTATATATACATATGATATATATCGTCAAACAGTGTGTTTCTTTTTAGTTTTTACGATCCAACATGGCAAACAATCTTCTTTTTTTGCAGTATTGCTTCCATGATATTAGGAGCATTAGCCGCAATGGCTCAAAACAAAGTCAAAAAACTTTTAGCTTATAGAAGTTATAATTCTATTGGTCATGTAGGTTATGCAAGGAAAATAAGCAACAGCGAGATGACAATCCCAGATCACACCATCACATTGAAGTCAAATAGTCACACCGTGTCCAGATAGCAGCATTGCACCAATAATACACCAATGGAGTTTCGTAGCACTGAAAACCAATGTTTATGGAGAGCACACTCTCTCCTCTTCAACACAAGTATCCAGTTCCCTTACACTCACACTTGGCGCTCAGCGCCCAGCCTACTTCTACACAGCTACTACAGACTACAAAAAGACAATGCAACTGTTGACATCAGCAGCAGCCCGAAGTACTTGAAGGTGCCGCCCATGCAGACCATCGCCAATACAAGGTACGTGTCCTCACATCATCATCATCATCATCATCCTTCACCTATCCCCTGACTTCACCCACACCTGTCCTCTCTGACACCCGAAGAACCACCCCTGCGCCTCACTCTGTCCAAGCCAAGCCCGCTATGGAGGCTGGCTATGGCGCTGCCCTCAGCAGCGCCCTGTTCCCCTACACGACCGCACGTGTTGCCCCTTGCTCCTCTGCCGGCAGTCAGCCTGCGAGCTTTTGCTCCAGCAGCGCTGCCGCCCAGCCAGCAAGTGACCAAATGAGGCTGCCTGGCCAGAGCTCTTTCCTTTATGGAAAAGAGCTGGCCAGCTCTCGCAGCCTGGCTGGGCTGGCCTGGGCCCAGCAGCTTCCAGAAGGCCCCAGGATGCTGTCTGGATGCAGCAGCTACTGGGCTGCTGGGCCTCGTTCGGTTGGGCGCCCAACTGTCTCTGTATGAGGCTGCAAATCACGTCCAGGGCCTGCATTCTTTGGAAAGGCCCGGTAGGCCGTGGAAATGTCTTCGGTACTCGGCCTGTGTTTCTTTCAACCAACTGGCGTGTCGCAACTGCCTGGACCCCAAATATGAAATTGACAGTCGAGGGCCTCTTGCAAAAAGCCAGGCCCGCCTTCACTTAGGGCGGGCACCTCCACCTTCACTTAGGGCGGGTAAGGCTGCAGACAGGGCCCAGTAGGCCTACCGAGGACACTGATCCTCGCAGTTACCTTTTAATTGGTTTTTCATGTGGAACTATCGAAGGTATACAGTCTTTACTAATAGGTGTTTTCATTTATGTACTAATGACCATCAATGTATTTAAATTAAATTAAAAAGGCAGATTTTCAAACATGCAAAATAGACTCCGTTTTCATTATGAAAATGTGTTACGTCAAGATTTATTATTAAAACTTCATTATACAACAGCCTGGCGGCTGCCTCGATTATGTAAAATCATAGTAGTTCCTTTCGGTTTCGGAAAAAATGGAATGGTAGCGGCTTCGCTCCTTTGTGGTCAAAAATCTCTAAACACGCGATGTACTGATCTATTTTGGTAGACATGGTTTAAGCCCGGACCTATCAATTTCTTGTGCAAAGAAGAGCCATACTAATACTACGCGCGCGGGATAAACCGTAGGCAGAGAGGGAGAAAAGGACAACAAACAAGGGGCTGTTATATCTATCGTCAAACAGAACTGCCTGGTAAAACTTCGGCAGAGAGGGAAAGAGGACAACAAATGAGGGGATATATCCCTCTCTGCCTACGGTTTACTGGGCAGTTCTGTTTGACGATATATTTTACATATCTCTTATATCATCTATATAAATTCATATAATATATATATCGTCAAACAGAGCTTCCCGGTAAACTGTAGGCAGAGAGGGAGAAGAGGTCAACACACAAGGGGCTGTGACAATCTGTTTCGGCGGAGTTTCACCGACTCATTAGGAGGCTGAACCCTCAAAAACAGTCTGCAGAATCCCCTAACTGATTACACTGTAAGTGAATACCCACTGTAACCCCGGTTGTGGTTAAGCATCAACGACTGCCCGACAACTGCAGTGATACCCTGAGGTGGGCACCAACCACTGCCCTCAAGGTACCTGTGACGAAAATCAAAGTAGACTATCACTCACCCACACCAGATGGAAAACTCTACAGCACACTGTCGGTTCATCATCATACAGAACTTCCCGGAAAACGCCGGCAGTCAGGGAGAGAAGGACAACTAACGAGGAGACATATCCCTCTCTGCATACGGTTTACCGCGCACTGCGCGCAGTTCTGTTTGATGATATATATAATATATAATATATCGTCAAACAGAGCTCCCCAGTATATTTTTACAATTTTGCTTATTGTTTTTAACTTGGCAAAGAGTTTCGGTGTACCCTGAGGTAAAAGTTGTTCAGTTTGAAAGTTTCCTTGTTTTTAGCAAACCGTAGCTTCGCTTGTTGGGAAGGTAGGGACTGTTGCAAACCGTAGCAAAATGTATAAAGATGGTGTTAGGGAAGGTAGAGTGCTCAGGTTGTGTGTTGAATCTGTTGATCATTGCAGTGACTCCTGTGAGCATGGCCGGTGATTTCTGGCTCGAAGGAACAGCTGTGCAACATTGTGAGGGAGGCCGGGCCCGTTTCCTGGCTTGTTATAAAATAGAGGACTGCTGAAAAAAAAAAAGAAAAAGAAGTTCAGTTTATATTACTTTATAATACTTTACAATAACCAGCCGGGCCGCCCGGGTCCCGGGTGGCCAGCCCGTGCAAGGACTCCCAGCAAAAAAAAAAAAAAAAAAAAAAAAAAAAAAAAAAAATCCGAAAAAAAACTATGTTATGCGGAAAAATAAACTGAACAACTTTTGCCTCAGGGTCACATCGAAATTCTTTACCAATTTTAAAATAAAAATAAAAAATTTAAAAATATTGTTTTTATTTTTTATTTTTTTAATTTTTTTGGCCCGGCCGGGCAAGTGACCCCGGGCCACTCTGGTAGCCTAGTTATTTTGTATAATTTTGTTTATTATTTTGCAATCAGACTCGCTTTCTTCTCCACTTTGCATACATCCAAACAGATGGCAATTCACACTGGCGCTGTGCGCCCACACAAAGCTCAGAGATAATCAAGCTGAGAACACAGTTCAGTTACAAATTTGTTTCCAACTGGCTATGGCGCCTGAGTGCCCACACGTCCTCTGTCCAACACTGTGTTCACCCAACTGTTCACACGCACTCGACTTCGGATCTCCCTGGATATCCCACGCACATACACTCTGTAACACACACACACACACCCACACCCACACACTCTGAATAACACCTATCGCTAGCTATGGCAGCTATTGCCGCCAACTACTACTATCTACAAGCAGCTATGGACCTTCCGGAAGTTTGCGGACTTGGCCTTTCAGGACTGTAGCAGCTACGACCTTGACCTTTCAGAACTACAACAACTATGGGCGTCGCCGCACGGGAGACGAAACGAAAAACGAAACGACTGCATCTTCCTCCAGAAAATGGCCAGGTTCATTGTTTTGCTATAAATAGTAACGAGTGTATTTTGCCACCTTTCGTGGGCAGATGCACTCGTTTCGTTTTCGTTTCGTGTACCGTGCGGCGAGAACCTACTCCCATGCAGGTATGACCCCTACTTTGACAGGTCTAAGGTTCAAGACCCGACAACTACTCAGACCTATGACAGACAGCTTTCAACTACTAACACACAGGTCATGGGTTCAAGACACACAGGTTTGACTTGATACTATACACCGGTAAGGAAAGGTAAGGTCTGGGGATCGAGCCCTGAGATCCGCATCTGTGACTGAAAAAGCTGAAAACCATTTCAATTTCTAATTTGGCAAAGAATTTCGATGTGACCCTGACTCCCTGAGGTAAAAGTTGTTCAATTTATTTTTCTGCACAACTGCCACAACCTTTTTTTTTTTTTTTTTTTTTTAACAGGGATCTTCTTCCTGGCCTTTGCCCGGCCGGGCCACCCGGGCAACCAAGGTGACTTTCGGGTGGCCGAGCCAAGGGGCGAGGTCCCACTAGCAAAGAGGATTGGATTGAACACCTTAATTTGGGCGCGTTTGTGGACAAGTGCAGAAAATCAAGATTGAACTCCTTTTCTGCATCTCTGCCTAAAACACGCCCAGATTCAGGATCTTAATCCAATCCCCGTTGCTAGTGGGACCATGCTCAAGGTGACTCCGGCCTCCCAGTTGGTAACGCAGGTTACTATAAATAGTAAATACTAAAATTTAATCTTCTTTCTTTTATTTTATTTTTTTTATAAATTTATTTGGATTCAATTTTGGTCCACCATTTAATCAATTTAAGCGTGTCATCCTCGCGCAGGGGCCATTTGCTAATTAGTAATTACCCTTCTCTGTATCGTTCCAACTTTAACAGATGTCCCGGAGGACGAATCTGATGTAATAATCTGGATAAGTCAAAGTGGGAAGCCGTTCAGCGTCGGTCTGGGACGATGATTGTGGTGACCAATTTAGTATTTACCTGTGAAAATAAAGGAACTCCTTCCACAGTGATGAGATTTCCTCTGCTACTTTCTGGCTCGGTGTGGTTCCGGCACTCGTTATATCGCCAATAATACGTCCATCTCGCGAACACTTCACCGCCGGCGGAGATCATGGAATAATATGTAGTTGAGGAACAATTGGCCACATGCCAAAAGAGGAGGAAAACAAGCAAATCGGGCATGGTTTCATCAAGGCAGGCAAACACAGGTCAGCAATGTCACGCTATCACCTCGACAAGGAAACTGGCAAAATATAGATTGTCATACACACATATCTATGAACTAAACGAGCGCACTTTGCGCACAAGCAGTGAAAAAAAAAAAAAAAAAAAAAAAAAA